CGTGACTCAAGGAGAGCCACTGAATCGGCCTGTCCAGAGGCTAAAATAAGCTATGTGGGCTTGACATAAGACCAGCCAGTACACACTCATACGATTCAACAGGTGTTAGAACCTGGACCACTAAAGTTAGTTGCTAAGTCATGAGAATGGATTAGATATGGAAATGTGTACTGTTGACACTTCCTAGGTTCCATTGCCAACTATTATTTAACAATATTTCAATCTTGTGACTAAATAGAACTATATAAGAAGTTTTCTGGAGATGTACATACTTTAAAAGAGATTGATCAGTTTGATGCTTAACATAAATGCCAACGAGAGAACATAAATACTTACAAATATTATGCGTTAGATAGTTTATCTTTATTGTTCTAACGAACAATTAAAGCATGACCAACCAGCTGAAAAACCACAAAACATAAGTCTCAGACCCTACTCGTAATGTAATATTCACTAGTATATAACAGTATTTAACCAAATCATTGAATGAATTTCATGTCAAAATTCAACATTTTCTATTCTTAAATCCAAATGGATCATCTATAAATTATAATCTCATCAGTTTTTGTTTTATTAAATATTCTAGATGAAGTTTTCTTCAGTAAACTAAATCATTTGCATATGAAGATTTCGTCACCTCTCTGAAAGTTATCATCAGTTATGAAATGTTTACATTTCTCCACATATAACTCATAGCTTAGATCTTGATGTTGATTAGTTTCTAATTGATTATATCTCTCATTGACGAGACTCTATGGACGACATTTGAACGAATCTTAAATGTTCTTCACTAATGTATATATTACAAAAAAACCCAGAGAATCAAAGTGGTTCGGTTTGAAAAAGATTCAGAGGTACTGAAATAATAGTACATACGAAAGAGGGACTCATCCATTATGGCTCTATAATAGTCGACCTCTCGAGTCATGATAGGGTCGTCAGAACCTTTTTAGCTTCGACCACATAACTCCAATATTGTCAGTGTGTACTCCAGTTGTAGGGTCCACAAAATAACGCTTACAAATAACGACATTATGCACATATCCAAGTTTTTGAAGGTAACCGTATTCATTAGGTACTGAGGATAGCGTCATCACCATGTAATTTTTCAAAAGCTTCTGATTGACTCGTCCATAAATTAGAGTTTCATTCTGTCATTTAGTTTGGATATTTATTGTTCAATAATATGTACTTAAGATTATGTTATTTTCATTCTTTTCTCCTCATTTTTTTCTTTTCTTTTTTTTAATCAATAGTTCTCAACTGACTAAGTACATTATAAATATTACGAAATGTGTATGAATGATAGAAATAATATAATAAAACAATATAAAAATAATAAAGAAACATCATGTAATCAAACAATGATTGAACATAGTGATAATACAGAACCAATTCTAAATAGAAATGAAAATGTAAAAAAAATAGCAAAAGAATTAAAACATCAAGAAGTTCCAAAAGTCGATGGAATTCGAATCAACGAAAAAATTGAAAGAAATAATAAATTAACTGTTTGTTTTACTCTCTTGTTTTTCTACCCCCCCTCCTCTCGTAGTCGTCGTCGTCGTTAATAAATTGTTATATCAATGATTGAAATCATGCTTCAATTGAAACTGAACTACCATGCAAGCACTGGACGGCCGTTTTGCCCTAGTAAGGGACACCCCAGTTCCAGTGCGCATGCACGATCTCTCACCCCGCGAGGTTCGAACCCGTGACCTATCAGTTAGATGCAAGGTGCTTAACCAACTAGACCATAGTGGTATGACTTAAATTGACTCATGATTTAAATCAGTGAAATGTCTAAAAATCTGCACAAATCCCCTTCTGATATATTGTTATATGTTTAGAAAATAGTATGTATATAATTGTTTAGAGTTTATAATAGAGTAAAACCTAATAGTTTGACTGGTTAGTATCGATAAGATTTCTCGCCTCGCAAGATTTGAAACCAAGACATATCAATCTCTGGATTGTGGATACACAGTGTTAAGGAGTCCCATAATATAACAAAATGGCTATCCAATGCTTTAATAATTTTCATGGAGGTTTAACTTCAATTGATTCAAAAATAAAACTATTGAAACTTCTATAATATCCACAAGGAATCCTTCTTATATATATTTCTGATTGATATGATCTTATTCCATCACTTAGTGTGAATGTCATAGTTCTACATATGGTCTGTCGTGTAATGAATACTACATCTGTAACAGTCAGTGATGTCGGATAGGAACTTTTAAGAATATCATTCTTGTCAAAATGTCAGAAAATCGTTGGTAGATAAGCAGGTAATTGAGTAAAGATGCAAATGATGATTGAATAGATGAAGTAAGGATGGACGAATGTAACAATTCATTCGAGTTGAACAAGTCGATCGTGATTCTATTGACAAGTACTACTACTACTACTACTACTACTACTACTACTACTACTACTACTACTACTACTACTACTACTACTACTACTACTACTACTACTACTACTACTACTTCTACTACTACTACTACAACTACTAACACCATCACCACCATCACTGAGATTAAAACAACTGGTGTAGCGGAAGTCTTTGCATCAGCAGGCCTCAACATACTGATTTATTTACTTACGCCTGTTGATCCTCGTAGAGGAGCATAGGCCGCCAATCAAAATTTTCTATCCAACCCTGTCCTGGGTTGATCTCAACATATACAAGGGAAAAACTAAGGTCCTCAAATACAATACGCAGAACACAAACCCAATCACATTTGAAGGATAAGCTCAGGGGGATGTGAAATATTCCACGTATCTGGGAAGCATCATCGGCAATAAACAAGGAGGATTTGTTGCAGACGTGATGGCGAGGATTGGTAAAGCAAGGACAGCATTCCTACAGTTAAAGAACATATAGAACTAAAAACAACTGTCAGTCAATATCAAAGTCACATTCTTCAATACAAACGTCAAGACAGTTCTACTATACAAAGCTGAAATGTGGAGAACTATTACAACATATTCTAAATTGTTGTCTACGTAAGAAAGTAAATGTCCGTTGGTTGATTAGCATCAACGACAACCTACTGTGTGAGAGAATAGACCAACCTCCGGTCGAGGTGGAAATTAGCAAAAGATGTTGAATGTGTGTCAAACTGCGTCACGAGGCAAGCCCGAATTTGGAGTTCTGAAGGGAAACAAAAAGAGGAAGACCAAAGAAAATACTTAGTCGGGAGTTTGAAGCAGATATGAAAAGGATAAACAGGAAGTGGAAAGGATTCTCAAGGACAGAGTTGAATGGAAAGTGCTGATGTTTGGCCTATACTCTTCGACTAGTGGTAACAGGCATAAGTAAAATAACTTTTCTTTCAAATAGTTTTTTTAGTCGAAGTAGATAACATTGTGGAGTCTGAAAGAAATACGTAGAAACGGCTGTGTAGTCTTTCCAGATTTCAAGTGACTTTCTAGAAAATAGGATAGGAACTTAGTATATATCCATAGTGTAGTGAACAAGAACACACGTGGGGACAATCAAGTGTCATATACTGTTTATGTAGATATAAGTAGCTCACATCACAATAGGAATTATATCTTATTTTTTAAGATTTAATTCAGAAAATTGAATTCATTTTCAAAAAAGACTTTTTTTCAAAAAAAATATATCAGAAACAGTTTCAAATCCTCCTCCTATAGTGTCCACAAAACAAAAACCAAACGTGCTTAGTTCACGTAAGTATCGAATAGATTTATTGTTCTTTCTGAGTATTTTATTTGAACTGAAACACCATATTTTTTGTTATTTATTTATTTAAACACATAAACATTCATAAAAGGAAGCACCAAATAGATATGCGCTAACTAAATCATTCAATTTATATGAGTGCTGGGATATTGTCCAGGTGGCCAAACCGAAAAATGCACTTTTCTTAAGGGCCACAACCAGAGACTTCAACCCGAAAGCCTGATCCATAAGGCAGTGGAGCAACCCAAGGAAATACATTCTCATGGTAGCTGGTAGTCAACAATTGGTTCATACACCATTTGTTTCCAACTCCCTTACGTGGATCCACCATATCCATCAACCTGATAAGAGCGCCGAACATTCACTTTTTGTTCTCTCAATTTCGTAAACAACACACCTTACCACGAGAATGCAGTGAGTAGGACTTCCTTGACGGTGGTTATATGCACGTGCCAATATGATAGCATTTGGAGTGGGATAGCTTAATCTCTCCACTCTCGACCGTGCCAGAGCATTTGGGGGCCACTGTTTCATACATTCTTGCATATTAATCATAACAATATGATAAATATCTTTTCATGAATTTGGACTTCAAGTCGAAATTGATAATGATAACAATAGACTATAGGAGTAAATTTTAAACCTGATTGTAACTAGAATAGTATGACATTTATATGTGTGTTTAGTTTATTCCTAAATACGCTAATTAATAATATAATAGTTTTAACTCGTCATAAAGGTTGATCGCTATCTGTTCAGTGAATAATACGTTAGTATTTGACGTGTAAATTATTGGACTTGAGGTTAATTGTAAACATCAACCTTGTCGAGTTATAGCAGGTAAATACAACTGATAATCTCCAATTAGGATTAAATGCTCAATCGGGTATCTAATACTATTCACAAATTGTACACTTTAAAACAATCGTTTAGTTGAAATTAGACTATCTCATTTCTTTTTTAACGGAAATGTTTCAAGTGATGAACATACCTATACATTTTATCTCTATGATAACTGTAAAATTGAGTCTCTCGGCACTTTTGTAACTAGATAAGCAACTATTAAATTTATAGGGGATTTTCGTTTTTTTATGTGCTTATCGACTCTGTTGAATTCACAGTCTTATCAATTGGTTGGATGTCTTGTTTAAATGCATTACAACAAGGTCATTAACAATGTGAGGCGGGAAATCAATTAATTGAAAACTTTATTCTTACTAATTCGAAAAGTACTACTGATAATTATGATAATAGTAGTAGTATACAAAGTAAATTATATAAAGATATGAATTCTTATTTAAGTATTAAAGAATATTCTGGTAACTATGGTGATATACCATCACCTTGTCCAATGTATCATACAGGACCTGAATTACATCATATGAATCAATTGCATAATTCATTACATAAAGATTGGATTTATTCATTATTTCGTGATTGTATTTATGTATCAAAATGTTTGAAAAATGAAATCATAATAATCAATGAAGAAGAAATTCAATATTAATTTCGTTTAAATACGACTATACCGGATAGTTATATCCTATTGATCAATAATGATAATGGTAAGTTTACAAATATGTACAGTAAGTAACTATTTATCAGTAGTATATACTTATCGATGACCCAATCAGATGTGTCTGAGGGATTTTAAGGTTACGGTGTCCATTTCAATACCTGATGCTAACGTACAATCGATTTATACAAAACGTGATAATTGAAGGGTTATAACAAATGAAACGACGAGACGAACCAATCGCGTATAACATAAGAGGTTTCGGATTTTGGCGCTAAAGTCATTTATCCGTTTCGCTATATATATATATATATATAGTTCCTAACCGAGGCAAATTACGACAATAAAAGCATCAGTAATACTAGTTGCAGCCAGGTACTACAATATATACGGATGTTTGGAAAGCGTACAGACACTTACATAGGCTTGTTTATGTGCATAGTGTCGTTATCCACAAGTAGCTTTTTGTGCACTCAATAATCGGAGCGCACATAAACAATATTGAAACTATGCAGTCAAGGTGGAAATAGTTTTTGAGACTTTATCATGGTTACAGAGGCCGATTACCCTGAAGCCATATATGGATGATCTCCTCTACTGCATGCATTACGATCTTAGAACCTTTGAACCTCTTTGTAACCTTGAACAGTTTTGAAACACATATAAGAAGTGTATACACTTTATTTCTTTGGCTTTGTATAACATATTTTTACTCTATACTAACTGTTTCTTGATTAGCTAATATTTATCAAGTTCACTTAGGATTCGTTCAAAGATCGTCCATAAATTAGTGTCTCGCCTAATAATCTTATGTAATTAATTTTATTGTTTAATTAAATATCGGATCTATTTAAGTACTTTGTACAACACAAGAATGTTTACTTTGAATATTTTCTTATTGATATGGTTTAGTTGAGAGTTTAATGCAATTAAAAGGGTAAAGAAAAAAATTGTTCTATTCAATTGTCCTACAGATAATCTATATCAAATGAATTATGGAGTCACCTAGCGTTATCTAATTTTCAGTGATTCTGATACATCTTTTATTCGAGCGATTTCGCACAAATTTTTTTATTATTCCCTGCTCTCTAAAAGTCTTATACTGTTGAACGACGAACGGATAGTAAATGTGAAAGAAGTTTAACTTTGGAGCTTAGTTTATGTACAGAGTTGGGGAAATGTGAGTACTGGAGAAGCTTTCACGCTGTGAGGCATCGGATCTTATTTTTGCGTGATGATGTGGTGAACACAGTACAAGGATAATAATGTAATTAGATGTGAGATTTTGGAAAACATGCTGAAATTGGTAGTTGTCCACTCAGGATAATGAAAAAATGGCGTCTTTCTCTGAATTCTCTCAGATTTTTCTAAAAAACTCTGACTATTTGAATTAATTTCAGTATTTATCTTAGTTCTTAGACTTTTCAAGGAAATTGTATATATACACATGAGTTGCGCTCTTCCGGGCTCCTTGTGGAATATATATTTTCCCGACTGGATCTTGCCTTCTCCCTTTAGTTAACAAGGCTGGGGTACAGTTAAATAACTTAGCTTGACCTGTTGTTTTCTTGCTGTTTTTGTTCCGTTTGCTGATCCTAGGTGATATATTAATCTCATGAACATCGAACCAATAAATGACCATTCTCAACGGAGTGAAATAGGAAATATGAAGTGTTGGATTCTGAATTTGTAGTTTAATACTATCATGTTCACTGTTGATCATATGTTGGATAACGATTTGAACTATGATTATGTATTACTCAAAGTGATGAAATAAATGTAATACATAAAGTTGTATAGTTTTCTAAAGTTTTTTATCTCATATCAATCAGTAATATTGATCTGTGGTTATGAAAGTAAAATATGATTGTCTATTGAGTGTGAACGAACAGACACATGGCCTATGTACTATAAAATATGTGATTTCCTTTCTCTCCTTGATTTCTACACAGGAATCATGGAGAGTGATCACTTGTAACTTCATTGTGAAACACGAACTGTTAGAGTAGAGGATATTCGTAAGTTACTAGTATCCGGTTATATCTGTCTTCGAACCATTGGTCGTATACCATAGGACCACCGAGTGAGTAATCCAGTTGTTAGAAAACGGGTACTAGGGAAGCATGGCTAATCAGTTGATGAAGTAGTGAAACTTAATCGGTTGAGAAAGCCGAGACACGTGTTACGTATGCCTAATCACCGACTGCCTCGACGAGCGATGTTTTATGGTGTATATCAATGATTAAAATCATGAGTCAATTGAAACTAGATCACCATGGATAACCTGGAAACACTGTACGGCCGTCACAACCTTGCATGGGACACCTCAGCGGCAGTGCGCATCCACGATCCCTCACTCCACGAGGTTCGAACCCATGACCTATCAGTCTCATGCAAGGCGCTTAACAAACTAGAGACCTTGGTGGTCTGACTTCAATTGTCTCATGATTTCAATCAATGAAATTTCTAAAGGTCTCCAAAAAAACTCTTCTCATATATTGTTATATGTTTAGAAAATTATATACATATATATATATATATATATATATATATATATATATATATATTGTTGTTATATCTGTCAGACAGTAGCAGCAGATTAAAGGGTAGCGAATTATCGATCGGACCAAAGACGCGCAGACACGTAGAACGACCTAGGGTTCTGATTGGTCCCGCTTCCCTATCTAGCCCAGCAGTTGAGTCCAGAACGCAAGTCACAGCCTCGGATATATGAATCATTATATTTCAAACATACTTTGTTTATATACCAGTCAAACAAACCACATCATACCATAAAATAGAAAATAACATTGTACAATATTGGCCAGTAGGAAAATGACACGTTAAATAAGTATTGACCAATAAGAAAATAATACCATGTCCAAGTCCAAGAATAGCATCAGGCTAATAGGATAATTTCTGGGATATTTTCCTGAATATCCCAACAATTGTTAGAGTCTATAACAGAGTAAAACCTAATAGTTCGACTGGTATGTATCGATAATATTCCCCGTCTCGCAAGATTTGAACCCAGGACATATCGGTCTCTGGATTGTTGATACACAGTGTTGAGGAGTCCAATAATATAACAAAATGGCTATCCAATGCTTTCATGATTTCCATCGAGGTTAAGCTTCAATTGATTCATGAATTCAACTATTGAAATTACTATAATATCCACAAAGACTACTTCTTATATATAAATTTTATTGATATGATCTTATTCTATCACTTAGTGTGAATGTCATAGATCTACATATGGTCTGTCGTGTAATGAATACTACATCTGTAACACTCAGTGATGTTGGACAGGAACTTTTAAGAATATCATTCTTGTCAAAATGTCAGATAATACTTTTTGGACAGGATGAAACTTAGATCTAGGACTATTAGTTGATTATCTTCAAACGTCTTAAATCGGACAAATAAAACTTCAACATCAGATCATTTATATAAGTGTATGTACTGTTGTCTAGTGAAAGTGATACTAGTTACTATGAGGTGATAGACTGTTATGAACCTACCTCTTGAACGTAACGTGTTTCCAGTCTAGTCAATATATATTGTAAGGTGCGGTGTCCGAAATCTGATACTGATAGACGATTTTATACGCGCTGCAACCCCACGACTGAATACTTGATTGTGAAAGTATGTTGAACCAGCGAATAAAATGCATATGTCAGTCAGTCACTTACAAAGTAGAATCAGGCACATATATGTATCGGTTCAAGTGGCCATACCTCATTAGCACAGCAAGACCAACACAGGATTCATAGAAGTAGTTAATTCAATCGTGGTAATAAATAAGAGAAATATTTATAAAAGAATATAGTACAGAAAGAAAGGATTAGTTGGTACAAAGAAAGATATGAAGCGATTTAAATCTCACAGTTTAAGGGTAGACAGAGTGTGTATACACCCATACCATTGTGATCGATCGATTCTGAGCCACGTCACTCACAAAATGATTAAATACAGGTTTTATTGAAAGGAGCAGGTCTTTTAGGATATATTTTGAACTTGTTTGATTGCTGACTAGTCATGTCATTTCCTCTCAACACGTATGACGCATATAAACATTTACGTACCAATGTTCCACATTGTAGCAACAGCATGACTTGTCAACCAACACAGTTCAACGGAGGACCTGATATCACGTCTGATTTTTTAACTAGTCTCCAATCTGGCTGATTCCATGTATTAGTACACTTTATTTTGATGTGAAGTTGTTGTCGAGTTTCTTTGCTTGATAAATAGTTTAAATCTATTTTTGCACAACTAAAGGGTAGGCAGGCATGAATAAAATTACCAATGTTATATGTGAAAAATGATGATCATTCTCATCTGTTTCTATGGAACTACTTGAAGATGATGTGATTTGTAAATAAGCCAAATCAGTTAATGTAGGTCAGAATGAGTTGTGGTAAGGTTTTTATCAATATAATAATATTAGTAGTAGTGATAATACCAACGTTGTGTGAACTCAGTATGTAATAAATGCGGTATAGTCAAGTTAATTACGATGAAGAGGAATCCATCTGAATTGGGAAAGATGAATGGGAAATTTAGGAAAGATATAAACATAAAAAGAATTTGGATAAGAGGTTCTGAATACGAATTACTACCGAGCTAATTAAGCTCTCTGTGTGAGTGAGATTTGTTACATTAATGTTACGTTTGTTCATTCTTTAGAGATCAGACAATTCTCGAAACACCTAATGGTCTAGTTCCAGATGGAAAGAGACTTAGATTCTCATCTCACAACCACCGTTGGTTCCCTAAAGTTAAGTGATACATCTTTTTGATCATTGTCAACTAACACGATGCACACTTTTATGGGCTCCTCTCGATTGCTTTCAATTACTGAACATTGAACCTTATAATATGCAACGACAAGACTGGTGGTGACGCTACAATGAAAACATTAAACAAACATAACTCAGGTAATCAGTCAGTTCACACATGGGATTAATGGTTTACCTTTATTTGTA